GTGATCAAAACCAAGTTGGCTCAATGGGTAGACAGGTATGACTCTTCATTTCTTTCATCTTTTCTTGTTATATTTATTCACATTCCTATCGATGAAGGAATAAAGTTGTGAAGAAACAAGGAGGAAAATTAATAATGATTGCCAAGTAAAAAAGACTAGTCATAATGGTGTGAAAAGCAGAGAGATTTAGAGTGCAAGGAAATGAGATTATATTTACCAATTTTGTATTTGTTCAGTAAGGCAAGTGTGTTGTCTAGTCGACTAAGGTTGCAAACTTCTGGAAGCTCAGAAACATGTTATTACATAAATATTATAGTGGGGAAGATTGCTCTTTTCCCACGGAAGTTGCCAGTTTGGATGGATCTATCTGGCAATAGTATTTGAGATTAGCAACAGGTTGTCTGGTAGGAACTCTTTAACTGATTAGAAAATTAAATTAAAATTCCATCTAGGATGTAGAATTAGCGTACTCTCAAGTTCACCTTATATTGGACATGAAAATTGAAAAGGTTAATGCAATCGTAGGCATACTTCTTTCTGTATTATTGGTCCTACAGATTCCAGTGTTGTCATCATCACCACCGGTGGCATCATCGCTTCACCAGCCAATTCTTCCGTCTGCAACAATCTCGGAGTCTTTTCCGCTTGCAGACACTGTGTCTCCATTCACAGGTTCCACTCTTCCTAGGACACCGCCAAACCTGCAGGCAACAACAAGGCCAATCTCAACTATTGTAATGCCGCATGCATATTCGGTGCAAGGTTTTCAGGCTCCAGCTTCATCCTTTGGCCGATGGGTCGAGCATAGCTCTCAACAGCATGAATCATCTGTTCATCATGATTGCAATCTGAGTAGAGTACAGGTATAGCCACAAATTTGGTTAATTTGGGCAAATAACAATAGCGTGGCGTTACTCAAACTTCCATAATAATTGCTGATCAAAAATGAACAAGTAGTGTTTAGTGTGAGGTTTAAACATAATGGGTTTCAACTGTAATGACAAATGCATGTTTGCTCCATCGACAATTTCCCTCTAAAATGTGATATGGAAGAAGCCTAGTCTGCTTTGAACTTCACTTATGCCTTCTGATAGACTGTCCATTGTGGCAGTGTGGAGCAATGGTAATGGATCAACCGTATACGGTGCACTACCCAGGTTTGATTACCACTGTTAATGGGATCTAGGCAAGGGCGCAATTGTAGTCCACCACGGATGATAATATCATTTAAGTGAAGCTAAATTACATCATAAGGCTTATTGACCTCATTGTGAGAAACTTCAACATCAGCCCTTGATCACCAAAATTACCTAGCTATAGTAAAGCTCTTATAAAACAGTTTGAATGTTTCATTTTCCTGATTTCAGAAGTGTTATAAGAAATTTAAGGTGAGAAATAATTTCCCTTCAACAGTATTTAAAATTAAGTAAATTTATTTTAAATAGTTTAAACATCCTAATCTGTTTTCTCGAACTCAAAGTAAAGCGCGCTAATTTGCAATGTGTTTTTAAATCACTGCTCATGTAGGGGAGAGGGAGCTAAGATCTACTAAGTCAAATGTGACCCTCTATAACCTAATCAAAATTGGTTGGAATCTTTTATGAGCATCATTAGTTTATATCAAATAGCAACCCTTCCTTTTAGGAAACTTGTATCCACTGACTGACTTAAGCTGCAAAATATTTTATTAGTATTGTCTCTCTTTAAATTATAACCAGATAGAAGACTAGATCGAGACTAGATTTTACTAGGGCTGGTCTCACAGACGATTCTACAACCGAGATAAAAAGCAGGTCAAGTAAACCCTCCTATGACTCCCGATAGAACAAGTCGGTGGATCTCCTTTAATGGCATTCATATACAGTGAGAGCAATTACTAGGTTCTCTAATCACTTTTTTGTAAATAAAATAGTCGAAGCGTCTTCTATCAGCAAAGCGGCTGTCGCCAGCTATATTTATAAAGCGATTAGATTTGTCATTACACTTGTTAACTTAAACAAACGGAACAACTCGTTATATTAGTATTGTTATGTCTTTCACTAAAATACCATCTTGTATAGAGTCATGAGGTCTAAATTCATTCTTCAATCCCCATACATACTCACTCAAAAAATATTATTCTTTCTCTGTGACCAGATGCTCAATCCCCTTCCATTTTTGGGCACGGAATCTCAAAAAAATTTTCCAGCCGACCTGTCTAGGAGTGCATTAGCCACGAAAGCCTCTTATTACCTAGATCCTGATAAGCTATCTTCGCGCCAAGCACTCCCGGAAGGATCGTGCCCGGTCAGACGCACAGGATATCCCCAAACGATAGATCCACAAATACCCTCAGCTATGCAACAACATTCATCCTTTAACAGACAGCAAATTCAACAGCATCAACTGCAACAACAGCCACATAAGCAAAGAATGACCACTAATAATCTATCTCCTCGAGTTGCCTTGCAGCAACCTCAACAACAGTATCAAAATCAATCAATACAACCACAGAGGTCTCATGTAGAGAAGCAGCAGTCACCAAAAAATCAACAGTTTCAACAACCCTGGCAACACCAAGAGCGTTCTCAACAATATAATCAGCAGCAAAAACACATTAATCAGCCTGCCTTCCTGCAGTCTTCTGAGGGGACAATGACAGCCGAGCAGATAGAGAAGCGATACGATGCGCTGCAACTCCAGAAGACACACTTGGAAACCCTTATATCTAAACTACCAGTGCGTACTGATGAAACTGCCAGTCCAAAAACACAGGGACAAGAGGAGGTGAGAAAAATGTAAAACCATAATAGGGAATTGAATATATGAAGACCAAGATGTTGTGGCCTCTGGTATGGTCGCAGTCTCCTTCGATTGATAGAGGTGGGTTT